TATTTTACGCTCCTTCCCTCCTTCCTCTTTCCTCCTCTTTCTCCCCCTTCCTTCCTTGGCCCTCTTTTTCCCTACTTCCCCCCTTTCCTTCCTTTTCCCCTCTCCCTCTTTTTCTATATTTCCCTCTCACTTTCCCTCTTATCCCTCTTTCTTCTCCTTCTCTCTTCTTTCTTCCTCCCCCTCTCTTTCTATCTTTTATTCCTTCCCTCTTCCTTCTTCTTCCCTTCCCCTAGTTCTTTCTTCCCTTTTTCCCCTCCCCGTCTTTTCTCACCCTCCCTTTTTTTCCCTTTCCCTTTTTTTCCCCTCTCCCTCCTTTTTTTTTTCCTTCCCTTCCCTTCTCCTTCATTTCCCTTCCTTCCTCCCTTATCCCCATCCCCCCTTCCCATTCTCTTCCCTTGCTTGCCTTTTTATACCCCCTCCCCATCCTCACTTTCTTTTCCTGCTCTCCACTCTTAGCTCCTTTTTCCTTTTTTTCTTTTTCTCCTTTCTTCCTCTCTTGCTGCTTCTTCCTCCCCCATACCCCTCCCTCCTTCCGTTCTCTTCTTCTTCGCTCTTATGCATTTTCATATGTACTTTTACATATGTTTTAGTGATCATATATATATATATATATATATATATATATATATATATATATATTTATTTATATATATATATATATATATATGGGAATAATTTGGTGTGATATGCATATTACTTGCTATACAGCAATCAGATTTCAATCTAATTAAAGCTGAGCCTATATTTTACATGATTTTTAGCCCAATTTTAACCACGGTTTGCCCCTTCCAACAAATTTTCACAGTCTGAAGCGATTTTCCAGGTCAGGAGCTCAATTGGAAATGACTGAAGGCATGGACGATCTGCTAGTGTGAGAGAAGAAACGAGTCACTCTTTAGCCTTCCGATTGAGCTCTGGAGTGATCGGACACGCCCCGATACTTTCAAACGTGTCTTATTATTATAATTCTCAACATTCATCTGTAGCATAAGATTGTTGGTGATTTAACTCAATGAATGAACAAGAAGAGTGGAGGAAAAAGGTGTGCAGTGGGCCGCTGAGACAGAGGAGCTACAAAAAAGATGGTTCTTCAAGGGTTCCTCACTAAATAAAAAGGTTCTACAAACAACCATGTGACTAGGCTCGTAATGTTAGCTGAGGTGAAAAAGATGATTGAATGTGGATCTGAAATCTTGACCGAGTTTTGCTTTTAGTGGTCTTGTTCTGGGTTCATGTTAATGCAGTAATATGTTGATGGTGCTGGTAGTCGCTGATCAGCTTTGAGTTTTGGACGCTGTGTGTAGATCAGTGTGCAATTATGTTATGCATGGATTCTGCTGATTGTTACCTCTTTTCATGCTCACTAATTACCTCTCCTGTTAGCACTATGTCACCTCTTAGTACTCACTGTGCAAAATATCATAACCTGTGGCACTGGTGACACTTTCACTATGCACTTTACACTGTAATACTGCTGCTGCTCCTAGTTATGTCTATAGACATTGTGCTTTTAGTCTGCCTCATATCACTCAGTGCCTGCTATCATGTAAATACAACAACTGTCTCATATGCTATATAAATATGCAAATAGATATACTTTATTTCTACTCTTATACTTAACTTATGTCTATTTCTATTTTATTTTTCTGCATAGTATATCTAAGTGTATGTGAAATTATATGTGTTGCTACTGAAACACTACAATTTCCCTTGGGGATCAATGAAGTTCAGTCTGTCTGTCTGTCTATCTATCTATCTATCTATCTATCTATCTATCCATCCATCCATCCATCCATCCATACATCCATCCATCCATCTGTCTATCTAAATCTGAAATAATTTGTCCACATTAGTCAGGAGGAAACTTACACCTATAGGGCCTGCGAGCAGGTTAAAGCTCCCCTGGCAGTGAAGACCCCTAGCAGTACAACTCTTAGTTTGTATTACATGTTAAAAGTGATATTTGGGCTTCTTGTGACTTGTTTGCCTTCCCAAAAAAGCTCTCCGATTTCAAAATCTGTTAAGATTTGAAGAGTTGTGTAGTCTACGCCCAACGTAAGAGATGCATTTGACTGCCAAGTGTAAATACATGTGATTAAAATAATATTATCCAGATATAAGTGAGTCATTGCTGTGTGCGCAATCTCATTTTGTGGAAAGAAAAAACGTCCTTTACGTTTCTGCCACGTATTTGTCATTTATTGACGTTGCAGCAATGGAAGAAAGTCTCAAGTGCAGAGTCAAATCTGTCGATACTTATTGTAAATATCATTAATTATGTAACCCACTACATAATTAATTATGTAACTATGTAATTTCCTTTTAAACTGTATAGCAAAATAACAACAATAGTGGGGAATATACAAGGCCACACAGTGCTGTAGAGTGAATGCTGCAGAATTGTATTTGGACACCCCTTCATTATAGACCATACGAAACCAATCTATTTAACATCACAGACACATAATCTTTCAGAGTGCGCAAGCTGATTTCACCCCACAGGCTCATTTTTTGAAAGCGAAATATGTGAATGGATGAGTCAATCTCCGAGGCTTACAAAAGCCTGCTGAGTGGAACCTTGAAGAGACACTTAGTTTATAATGACAGTTAATTTCTAATAGAAACGCAGACACTGACAGTGTCTGAAAATACGTATGTGGTATCAAAGCATGAATCATCTTGACGTGCCTAATTACAGAGCAATCTGATGGATTTCCAATTATCATGGCACCAACTGGGAGTGTGTTTGCTGGTGTCAGCTGCAACCTGTAATATCTCTCGTGGCGCCTGACTGATAGCATGAGTGCCGAACAACTTCCACACCACAAGGATCCAAGACATTTAGAGTGAATGCTGCACTGTATGATATATCGGCATTGAATTCTGCTCTAAGTGACCAAATGAAGCAAAATGCGAAATGCGCATGTGGTATTTCCATTATATTTCTGCTGTACTACTTCATATTTTTCAGTGGGAAAACCATAGATTTTTTAAAGTGTCTCCATCATTCAGTTGTTGAGATGTAAACAAAGTCATTCAGAGTAGTTTGTCGTGAAATAGTTCAGGGTAGAGACTCATTTCTTTACAGTGGTGGTGATAGGAACCAGGGGTCATTCTATCTACAACACAAATATAGCCATTTTATATACTACACAAAACCACCAGTTAGCCTAAACATGTCTTCTGAGTTTTATATGTAATGTTGATGATGGTAAAATAGCGGTAAATTTGGAAAAAAAGGTTTATTTTGGGACTATTCTGCCCCACAACACAGTGCATGGACCACCCTGCCATGAATGAATATGAATAAATAGATTTTAGGCCAAAACCTCCTCAAAACTATTGCAAAACAATGTCTCAGGCATCAGGGAGCATATTTAAAACCACTGTGTGGTATAGCTACCTATAAGGTAACTTTAAGAGGCATTAAACCCTTCGGACGTCTGGTTCCTATCACCAGCACTTAGAAGAATATTGAGTCTATAAATGTCTCTAGAAAGAAGCATTTCACACCAAACCGCTCTGAATGACTTTTTTCCCGAACAGTTTAATTTTGCTGAAAAACTGAAAAATTAGGGGGATTCAAAGGATTGGTTTCCGTTGCACATATTCTGACTAGAAAGAGGAATTTTCCTTTAGAATAGTTTCCAGTAGAGGGCTACGCTCTTTAGAAAACTAGGCTAAAATCTTCTGAAGGTGAAGCAAAGCTTAAAACAGAAGGCAAGACATGCTTAGCGTCTGAAGTTTGCTTCTTTAGCTTTGCACTGCAGTCACGAGGCTGACGAAGCAAAGTAGGCCAAACAGAAGCTTATAGGCTCCTTTTTGCTCCAGTGCAAAACTAAATAAGGAAACTTTAGACACCAAGCATGTCTTGGCTGATCACCTGCATTTCAGGTTAAGGGAAAAGCTGCAAACAAATGTAATTTGGAGCAGTGGACACCAGCCCACCCCCTGAAGATGTTCTCCGGAGATTACTCTAAATCTTTTTCTTCCTCCAGAGCACCTAAGTCAGGGATCGGCAACATGTGGCTCCAGAGCCGCATGCGGCTCTTTTACTGTCCTGTTGTGGCTCCACAGTAGAGTTAGATTTGTAGGTAATAATAAAATAATCCTCCTCTGTAGTAAAATAAAGCTCTGCTGATCGTTCAACACAGTTTTAACACTAAACAGTCTTAAACGCTGGAGTTAATGTATGACTGCTAATTCACCCTTCAACCTTGCAGGTTGGAACGCAGACTGCTGGTCACCATAGCAATGCAGACAACAATCTCGCCTAGCTAGTAGCTAACAGAAAGGCAAAGAGAAAGATTAAAGACGAACATCGATAATATGGAGACGAATGAACTTATTTGCATTTATAATCACTCCAGCTGGTTTCCTGACATATTTAATCTGCAATGAGAAACTGTCAAACACTAAAAGGTCTTGAAGATGAAGTCAGCTTGTCATTCATCGGCTTCTTGTTCAATTTGTCCTGTTCCACCTTAAATGGTGCCACAGTTACATTCTGGCGCCTCAGGCACCATTTCGGGAGTAATGGGAAAATTTGAACAAGAAGCTGGTGAATGACAAGCTGACTTCAGCCTCATAAAAACATCAAATGTTAAGAGACATTTTACAAGTAACTGTTCTACTTTTGGAAAGGTTTCCTGCCAGAGATGCGAGAAAAGCAGCTATAGCTGAATTAAAGCTTAAAGCAGAAAGTGAATGAGTCTGTGTTTTTGTTTATATTATATTTTTACGTTTTTTTCACGAGACATCAGCACAAACTGAGACATATTTACAGCCAAGATGGAAAAATAGACACAAAATGTTGTGGCTCCCATTGTGGCTTGATTTTTGTTGAAAAGACAAAATGGCTCTTCTTAACATTTCGGTTGCCGACCCCTGACCTAGGTGGCCCAGGTGTTTTAGATTTGGGTGTAAAGCTGCACTTTGAAGGAAGATAGAGCTGCGAGAAGGACTGGCTGGTAATATCAGCCTGTTCTTGGATGGCTTACCTGACCACATGAAATATAGCTGAGATAATGAGCTCGTTGAACACCGCAATGGCCATGTAGCGAGGCTCGTGGAAGGCCGAAGGTACCGTCCTCACCGCATAACACAGGTACACACTCCACAACAGGAAGAGGAACTCAGCTGTGTGTGTGAGAAAAACAGACAGAGTGAGAAAGAGAGAGAGAGAGAGAGAGAGGGAGAGAGAGAGAGAGAGAGAGAGAGACAGACAGATTCAATACATGAAAAGAAAGCCACCTAAATTGTTTGTATTCTCTGGACACTGCTTGACAGACAATTGTGGATGAAGCTGGTCCAGGGTTTTATAGATCGGCCACCTTAAATTGGCGCATCTTATACAATGTCACCGAGGCAACCTGTCTAACAGCAACAAACATCTGCTCACTTTATCACAATCTGCAGCCATGGCTCTCACATGCCGTGCGAGTATCTGGGAGAGCAGTAGTGTGTCTAGGTGGGAGCCTGGGATGGACCGGCCCCCCACATGAATTTGATTGGCCACCACAATGTGTTTCATTAAACGACACATCGAAAGTTAAACACAATATGATTAAGGTCTTATGAAGAACTGAGACAAATTAGAACTAATACAGGTAACAACCTCCTCGCTGTAGGAACAAAACCTCATATCACCAAAATGGTCATTTTACAGGAGAAGGAAATAAAAACATTCTTAACTTTTAACCAAAGTTAATGCAACAATTCTTTTTTTCAGAGTAATTTGGGATCTTTTCTATTGGTCCATTCCATCATGAAGATTTGACACAATGTACAGGGCAGTTTGCATTTTCAAATTATCAAAAAAAATGAAAAGCAACTAAAAAAATGGAGATACAAGGTTTTGTCCCGACAGCGACAACATGTATTAGCATAGTCCTTGTAGGTGCTTTCTGTAAGGGGCCACTAGGGGCCACTAGAAGTTCCTCTCGGTGCAGTCTGCTGCAGGATACTCTGAGCGATTAGGCAGTTTGAAAACAAGGATATACTGCTGTTCCATTTCCGCTGGCTACTGGATCCAAAGCAATGACATTGATCAAGACAGCATCAGCTCAACCAACTAAGTGCAGAACACACTGAAAACAACTTCTGGGTTATTACTGTACTATTTTGTTGTCTAAATCACTATTTGGACAGGATTTGTTTTACATCAGGAGGTGGGTTAATGTAATTTTACTGTAATTTTAAGAAATAACTTCAGGTTATATTAATCCTGTGAAAATCAACATGTCGGTAAGATGTTATCATATCCTGCGGAAAAGCAGTTTTTTAAGTATGGAACTACTCAGTGAAGCGTTTACTTGTGGTCCCCTGGCTAAAATCAAACCATTATGTACATTATGTCCATCCTTTTTAGATACTCCGACTTAATCCAGGTTTATATACTCAGACTGTAATTAATCCAGGTGTAGATACTCAGATTGTGATTAATCCAGGTTTAGATACTCAGACTGTAATCAATCCAGGTCTAGATACTCAGGCTGTGAATAATCCAGATTTAGATACTCAGACTGTGATCAATCCAGATTTAGATACTCAGACTGTGATTAATCCAGGTTTGGATACTCAGATTGTGATTAATCCAGGTCTAGATACTCAGGCTGTGAATAATCCAGATTTAGATACTCAGACTGTGATTAATCCAGATTTAGATACTCAGACTGTAATTAATCCAGGTTTAGATACTCAGATTGTGATTAATCCAGGTTTAGATACTCAGACTGTGAATAATTCAGATTTAGATATTCAGACTGTAATTGATCCAGGTTTAGATACTCAGGCTGTGATTAATCCAGGTTTAGATATTCAGACTGTAATTAATCCAGGTTTAGATATTCAGACTGTGATTAATTCAGATTTAGATACTCGGACTGTGATTAATCCAGATTTAGATACTCAGACTGTGATTAATTCAGATTTAGATACTCAGACTGTGATTAATTCAGATTTAGATACTCAGACTGTGATTAATCTAGATTTAGATATTCAGACTGTGATTAATTCAGATTTAGATACTCAGACTGTGATTAATCAAGGTTTAGATACTCAGACTGTGATTAATTCAGATTTAGATACTCAGACTGTGATTAATCAAGGTTTAGATACTCAGACCGTGACAAAGCCTGGTTTGGATACTCAGACTGTGATTAATTCAGATTTAGATACTCAGACTGTAATTGATCCAGGTTTGGATACTGCATAGAAAGACAGAGTCCTGGATGGAGAATGCTGAGAAGGTTCTCTGTAATTTAAAATGCAATTTATTAGAACCCAAAACAAGAACCCAGCACTACACAAATTACCGAGCTATACATGTATATAATGTAGACAGGTTATGGTAGTCATTGTTCTTAGTCAGTCTCTAATTTTACAGTACATCAGCTAGCAAGATGGGGACCCTGCCTAGGACCCTCTAAAGGCTAGAGCTTGCCCAGCATTCATTGCGTGTGTTTCCTGCTAAAGTCTCAATAATCTAATGCATTACCAAGTTACGCTATAACAAACCATCACGTTTTGACAATCATTTAAATGAAGCCTCTGCAATGCTGGCATCGCACAGTGTCTAAATATTCAATATGTTGTTTTTAATTAAGGTCCTGGCACCCAGCACGTCTTGATTTCTCAGCATTTTCCTATTAGTGCATTAAATTAAACTCACAATGAGACAACAAAAGGCAAACTAAAATCTTTAACATAAAAAAGAAATGCTAAATGTCTACATTCGCCTTATCTAACGTTGCTAGCCTAGTCTTTCTTCACCTCGTACCTTTTAGCTGGAGTTTGTGAAGAATCAGTTACCAGATACCAAACCAGATACATTCATAAATAACGTTGAAAGTTTGATTTCAGTAAATCCATATGAGTAGAGTGTCAAATAAACTTGGCCTTGTTGTTTCTCAGCGCTCTCACTGTGATATGGTTTAGCTGTGCTTTGTACTATTCGCTATGCTATGAGATGCTACACCTTTGGTGAGTGGTGGCCTTAAAGGTTAATAAGAAGAGTCAATTAAAAGGCAGAATCAACCATTTGTCCATCTGGATCAAGTTCTAGACACTGGGTGTTGGGTACCAGCGAGCAGAGATATACCAACCCACTGCCATCATGTAGTCCCACCGGTCCAGCAGGCACATGCTGAACTGCAGGTCCTCTGGAGTAAGGCCCACAGAGATCAGGGCCAGGTGTCGGTTTGGGTGCTCACACACGGCTGAAGTCCAGGCCACCAGGAACCAGAGCACGATCAGCAGGATGATCCCCAGCAACCGCAGAACCTTCCAGCTGGTCATGTAGGGGATCCGCTGAGCTGTGCGAGACAGGAACACCTTCAGCACCCTGTAGGAGAACCGAGAAAGAAACAAAAAAAACATACAATGTTAACTTCCAGCATTTTACAATATTTAAGACAAATGTTTCATTATTTTTGTATGATTTAGAATTACTTTTTTTTTAACTTTTTGGAATTTTACCTTTTTTTTGGCCAAAAATGATACATAATGATTAAAAATAATTCTAATGGTATTTTAATCCTCTTTTACAGTTGCCACAAAATGCCATTTCCGTCTGTTTTGGAGGTCCCTCAGTTGAACTATGTATTATACTTCATCATCATCATCATCATCATCATCTTAACCTGCTTCATTCAGCTAGCAATAGGAAAGCAAAGAATCCCAGATGACCCTGTCCCCCACGATTTCCTCCAGCTTATTCTCGGGGCCCCCGAGACACTCCCAGGCCAACTTGGAGATATAATCCCTCAAGCGGATCCTATGATGACCTCAGGGTCTTGTCCCAGCCGGCCATGCCTGGTAAACCTCCAATGGGAGAAGGTCAGGAGGCATCCTGATCAGACGCCTGAACCACTTCAACTGGCTCCTCCCAATATGGAAGAGCAGCGGCTCTACTTTGAGCTCCTCCCAGTTGATTGATCTCCTCACCCTGTCCATCATTACTGAAGTGTATATATTTTAGGCATCATACTTCAGGAAAGATGGAATATTTTTTGATGGAAATGATAATGGAAACCAGAAGTGAACATCTTCATAAGCAAGTTAACATTTATGAAAGTGTTTTTATTGTGTTTAACCCTCTCAGGCCAACGTTATACATAAAAGAACGAATATCTCATAAGCCAGAGATTTTGCCCAGTACAACAAAACAACAACAACAACTCTTTCAACACTGAGAAATGGATAAATAATCACAGAAGACATTCAGTGTTGGATTTGGCATTATGGATTCATTCTACAAAGTCTCCAAAAAGACAGTGAATTATAAAGCTTCTGAAAGGGAGATGATCACACTGGAGCCCTCTGTGGAATGGCAGAGTGCTGACCTTCCAGGGAAAAATAAAAGTATGTCTCTAGTGTGTAGTATTCCAGAGATTAATTCCTTTCTTTTTTGGTCGGCCTGAGAGTGTTAAATGCTATTATATTGTGCTATTATATTATGCTATTATAATATTAAATGCGTTTATATTATAGCGGACGGACACAATTGTTTGATATGCAGAAAGCTGTAGTTGTGCTGTCTGTTTATCTTGGCATGGCCATCTGTGGAGAGGTGTGAATTGTTTTTACAGCAGGGGGTTCTCACTCCTCCCCTTTCACCCTTCATTGCTCACTAGCAGATCAACACAGAGTCACAACATTTCCAAGTTAATCTGATAACAGGGGAAAATTAGAAAAATATTTCATTATATTAATTAAAATCCCAGTCAATTTCCATTCCACTGGTGGAATGGCCAATAGGAGGTTCCAGAAAGAGATTAAGAACCTTAAGGCTTACCGTACACACACTCAATCTTTCAGTACTTAGTAACTAAGAAATAACTACTCAGGAAAACAACCGCCTGTGAGTTTGTGTGATCTCACAAAGAGTCGGCAGTCCTGGCATATTAAAGCAATAATCCATGAGAGGCCATGCATTAAGGTGATTTTACCTGGTTTAAAGGGTGATGCCAGGCATGACACAGATTAAGCCCCCTACTCATGGTGAAATCACTGTAACATTCGGATTCAAGCTGTTTATTGCTTATATAAAACAGCGACAAACAATGTAATATACAGTATAATAAAATACAAGGTTTAACCCATAATTCACCCTGGAGGAGGCATCTGAGTTCTAAAAGAGATGACAAGGCCTGAGATTTGATTAGTGCAAGTGATGACCTGAAAGAGAACCTCTTTAAAGTGTTTTGAACACAAAAAGTGTTTCATTTTCAGGTTCATTTTAACAGAACTGAATTCAATTCATATAAAAACACAGGAAACTGAAATCCAAAATCAATGCTGTTGAATCCCCACCTTCAGATCAATGCATCACAACGTATTTATGCATTTTAACAACCCTAATAACCCCACCATGGTTCCGATCTTAGCCTGATTTGTATAATGACTATGGTAATGGTTTACTTTCTACTATTCATAGAGTAATGAATTCATAAGCTATAATAAATGCCTCTTGCTGGCCAGGACTCTGCTGTAGCTCTTTAATTCTTGGTGAAAAGGCCTGAGTCTCATCAGACCAGCCATGCGCTCTCGGAGTCAGTTAGCATGCGTGGGGCCTTCCTCATTAGCGCCCCCACTCTCTCTAAGTCACGTTGATAAAGTGTCCTCGGCACTGGCTTAATGAGCCTCTATCAAAAATTGATCTGGCAATGTGTTAACTTTCACCTCCACAGGCCCGCCTCGCTTCTGTCCAGATTAGCCGTGTAGCCGTTCATCTCGGCTGGCTTAATTACGAATGTCATTAGCCCTTTTTGACACTTCCACCTGATGCTTTCTCCTCCAGACAGAATTTTGCAGCGCGCTCATCTCTCATCTTTACATACAGAGGGCGGCGCCCTCATTATCTCTTATTCATCGTCGTGGGCCTCCCTTCCTCCCTTTTCCTCTCTCTTTTTCCCTCTCTCCATCAGTCTTTCTCAACTCTGTGTTCTTCCGTCTCTTTGCCTTTCTATTCTTCTTCTATCAATTCAGTTCAATTCATTTGCCTTACTGACACAACTATAGGTGCATTTGTATTGTCAAAGTATTGCAACAAGCAATGTCTAAACAAAAACCTCCCAATTCTGTGTTTTGTTTAGTTTTTAGGACCAGATTTGCTAATAAAGATGCAAATTACAACAGCCTCAGACTCTTCGCGCTGGTGCAGGTGGCCAATTTACTGGGTTATTTACAAAGAACTTTCATGCAAAGGTGCAACTTAATAATTTACATATTCCCAGTGCAATATAAACTCCTGCTCTGCTCTTTTTGAATGGAGGCATGTTTCTGCCAGTTAGTAAAGATAAATCGCTGTTTTTTGTTTTTTTTTTTGGATTTTTACCCAATTTTCTCCCCAATTTAGTCGTCTCCAATTCCAAGCGCTAGTTAGGACTCCCCGAATCACATGATGCTATCATCGCTAGGAGGGTGAAGCACAGGCTTCCTCCAAGACCTGTGAGGCACCACCGCATCTTTTCGAACCGATGCTCACACAACATCATTGGACAGCAGAACACGCTCGGAGGAAAGCGCCAACCGCCAGATCTGTTACGTCAGCGCTGACTAGCATCGCCTTAAGTGATGGGGGGCCATCCTACCCACCCAGAGAGAGCTCTCTATTGTTCCTTGCCATCTCTGTTTCTGGCTGCAGCATGTTTGTATTGTGCTCTCTAGGACTCTCGGCTACGGATGGCTGTAGCATCATCAGGGATCAAACTCGCAATCTCCTGATTATAGGGCCAATGCTTAGACGGTTGTTTCACTCGGGAGCCCCAATCACGGTTTGTTTATAGTTCCTTGCCATCTCTGTTTCTGGGTGCAGCATGTTTGTATTTTTAGTGTTTATATCAAAAGTTTGTCTTTTTTCAAAATGACTTGTTCTCTCAATAATTTGACTTAATTAGTCAAAATAATTACTTATGATGTAAAAATAATAAGTCCTTACTCCTTAGGAAACTACTTATCTTTAGATAATAAGCAATTATTTCTACATACTATGAGACCAAACATTTGACCCACTGTTGTGAGAAATGGGGTGGGTGGGTGAGACAGCAGGTGACTTTTCTTTACCTGAGAAAAAAGGCTTTGATTTTGTTGGCTGACCATCTCAGAGTGACACTGAGCAGCCGTCATAGTTCATTATAATAATCTCCTCCCAGAATTTTGCTATTTTCCTATAAATGCATTTGCAATGAGGCAGAAGCACAAAATAGTATCTTATTATGGGCACTAAAAGCCTATACAGTAAATTGTGAGTCACTTTTTAATGCCAAAGTAGAGTTTGTGACAGAACAAAACATTAGATCTGCCCCTTAGTTTTTTTTTTACACCAATGAAAATGATCCTGGAAAAAACTCTTTACATTAACGTTACATTAACATGTGCAGAAGTCAGAGACCGCCATTCATTTGTTTAATGTCCTGTCAAAACGGTTCAAGGTAGTCATTTTCCAGCTTTAGAAAAAAAACACACCTCCAAAGTTCAGTCTTAGAAGTTGGTTTAGCATTTTCAGCTTCTCATGATCCTAATAACTCCAAACACATTCAATGGTGTTGAGGTCTGGACTCTGGGGTGGCCAGACCATTGCTCTGAGAACACCAGCAGCTTCTTTGTTTGATTCACAACTGTTTTTATTTTTTGCTTTATAATGGCTTTTTGACAGCCTATAATATACATACTGACAGACTGACAGCTAATAATATATATAGTAATAATATACAGGGGCATGCAAAAGTTTGAGTACCCCCGGCCAAAAGTTCTGTTACTGTGAATAGCTAAACGCGTAAAAAATAACCTGATTTCCAAAAGGCATAAAGTTAACGATGGCACATTTTTTTTAATATTTCAAATAAGATTATTTGTTTTTATTTCCATCTTTTATGGTTTCCATAGTCTGCAAAATCTTCCTGAAGGTCTTTTCCAGTCAAATTAGGGTTTTGATTTGTCTTTCTAGCAATCCTACAAGCAGTTCTCTCTGAACATTTTCTTGGTCTTCCAGAACTGAGGAAACAGCTATGACAATGCTTTGCTATCTTCTTTTAGCCTTCTCCTCCTTGGTGGACATCAATTATTTTAATTTTCAGAGTGTTGGGCAGCTGCTTAGAGGAGCCCATGGCTGCTGATCAGTGGAGGACAGTAACAGAGTAAATGTAATTCGTTGCTGTACTTAAGTAGTTTTTCGTGTATCTGTACTTTACTAAAGTATTTCCATTTCAGGCGACTTTTTACTTTCACTCCACCACATTTCAAAGTCAAATATCTCACTTTTTACTCCACTACATTATGAGAAATCTGTCGTTCCTTTTGGTTTGTGTGTGTATAAAAACGTAACGTTAAAATGAAAGAAGC